AGTAGTAGTAGTAGTAGTAGTAGTAGTAGCAAGTAGTAAGTAGCAAGTAGTAATAGTAGAGTAGTAGTAATAGTAGTAGTAGTAGTAGTAGTCGTAGTAGTAGTAGTAGTAGTAGTAGTAGTAGTAGTAGTAGTAGTAGTAGTAGTAGTAGTAGTAGTAGTAGTAGTAGTAGTAGTAGTAGTAGTAGTAGTAGTAGTAGTAGTAGTAGTAGTAGTAGTAGTAGTAGTAGTAGTAGTAGTAGTAGTAGTAGTAGTAGTAGTAGTAGTAGTAGTAGTAGTAGTAGTAGTAGTACTAGTAGTAGTAGTAGTAGTAGTAGTAGTAGTAGTAGTAGTAGTAGTAGTAGTAGTAGTAGTAGTAGTAGTAGTAGTAGTAGTAGTAGTAGTAGTAGTAGTAGTATAGTAGTAGTTAGTAGTAGTAGTAGTAGGTAGTAGTAGTAGTAGTAGTAGTAGTAGTAGTAGTAGTAGTAGTAGTAGTCGTAGTAGTAGTAGTAGTAGTAGTAGTAGTAGTAGTAGTAGTAGTAGTAGTAGCAGTAGTGGTGGGAGTAGGAGTAGGAGTAGGAATAGGAGTAGGAGTAGGATTAGGAGTCAAGCTAGCCAGCTCGAGCGAGTCAAGCATGGCATGCCCAGTCCCACCCGCCCTCCCACAACATAAGAAGCAAAGCTGGCACAACTGGGGGCCGAAGTCACACCGGCCAGCCGGTTTGGTACAGCTGATGCGGCCGCGATGGCGGTTGCCGACGGGAACTGGCGAGCGCGTGTTGAATGCCGCGCACGCATTGCCAGACGAGTCGAGAATGGCCCGGTACACCGCAGGAAGCCAGAGGTGGCCGGAGGAAGCCCGACGGTCTGACAGGACACCCCAAAGCATTTTTGTGAAAAAGCATTGGGTTTTTGATGTTTTTATGTTGAAATGCTTGCAAACACACGGTGTTCGGTAGGATTCTGACATGAACGCGCGAGTGTGCTCTTTGTGGTATTTTTGGCACAGGATTCGCGGCCTGGGTGCATGACAGAGCATCGCGAGTGCACCGCGCGATGACGTGAAATCGCTGGATTTGACAGAATTCTTAAGATTCCTATGGTTTTCCTATGATTTCAGCAAGAGAGCCCGGGCGTGAAATTTGTACAATTTTTGTGAAAAAGCATTGGGTTTTTGATGTTTTGATGTTGAAATGCTTGCAAACACACGGTGTTCGGTAGGATTCTGACATGAACGCGCGCGTGTGCTCTTTGTGGTGTTTTTTGCAATGGATTGTCGCCGTGGACGACAGGACGTCCATGTCGAGAGGAAAAAATAAAAAACATGTTGATTTTGTATTGTTTTTTACAGGTTAGGATGGGACCACCCGGATGCGCCCGCTATCTGCCGGCCTGAGGGGTGAGTAGGAGTATATTCTAATAAGGAATAAGGATAGGAGTAGGAGGAGGAAAATGATGATGAGGAGGAGGAGGAGTAGGAGTAGGAGGAGGAGGAGGAGAAGGAGGAGGAGGAGCAGGAGGAGCAGGAGGAGGAGGTGATGACGGTGGTGACGGTGGTGGTGGTGAGGAAGAGGAGGAGGAGGGGCGGGAGGCATGAGGAGCCAGTAACCGCGCAGACTGGCAGGTGTCGGATGCTAGACCCGAACCGTTCGCATCTCCCTCCTCCCGCCTCCCACCACACATCTCGCCGGGCCAGGAGCTTGACCAAGCCGCCCTGGTGGCCAAGGTGAAGGCCTACTGCAAAGAGGAGAGGGAGCACAAGACACGATGGCGGAGGTTCTGCCGCGCGCACGAGTACCCCCAGGACTCGTGGGAGGGCGGACCATGCACCACCATTAGGCCTGCTTGCATATGCTCACCTTGGCCAACATGCTCAGTGACGCTTTTGGGCCGTGAGGGGCCGCCTGGGGCCGTCTGCGGTGATACAGCCAAGACGGTGAACTAAGGACCGCTTCTGGTTTTGGAGGGGCTCTCGATTTCGGGCCGTTCCTCAGCTCTGGGTCGGGGTACCTATTCGAGGCCGAGGCTCGTCGTGGTCAGTAAAGTCCCTTTGTTCCTCTGTCAGCGCTCCTGATGGTAGCGCGGCGACTGGAGGAGGAGGAGGAGGAGGAGAAGGAGGAGGAGGCGGAGGAGGAGGAGGAGGAGGAGGAAGAGGCGGAGGAGGCGCAGGAGGAGGAGGAGGAGGAGGAGGAAGAGGAGGAGGAGGAGGAGGAGGAGGAGGAGGAGGAAGAGTAAGTAGAGCGCTCCTTGTTTGGGCCCTCGCGGGTACTTGTAGAGGGCCTTTTAGCGTTTCTCGGAGCGACGGGTCTCTAACGGACGTGGTCCGCGGCCGAAGGCGGCATCGAGGTGGGGACGTCGGCAAGGTGATTGGGACGCGGCGGGAAATGAAGCGGCGGGGCGGGCGAAAGTGTCAGCGAGGGCATGGATTCGGTGCAGGGGAACAGAGGGGGCGGGGGGCTATCAAACGAGAAGTACAAACGAGGAGTACTGCGTGTGCGCGCTGTTACCGCACTAGAACCTGAGCACGCGAAGCGCCCGCGTGGTTCTAGTACTGCAATGGTGAGGTGCTGGTCCAGAGGTGTCTGCGCAGTGCGACAGGCCTCGGAAGACATTAGCCAACACTCATGCCGCATTCGTCTGTCAATGCCCCCCCAAAGATCAATATTGGCGGTGGGTTGAACGAGCTGCACTTCGACCGCAGTCTTCCCCGCGCGTGCCAATTTTGATTTTGGGGATTGGGGGAGTGTCCTCTAGTTGTTTCCTTCGACCGGAATGAACGGTTTGGTGATCCAAAAGAGGACAGGCATATGCTGGATAAAGTTGTAAAAGGGAGGAGGAATTGGCGAACATGGAGGGTTGCTGGTAATAACAGAAATGGTGGCGGCGTGCACCTGGAACACTTGGCGTTTCGTTTTTTTCCGAGACGCGGGCGCCCATATCTCCCGACCCCGTCCCCAGGGCACCAGACGAATGTTTAGCGCAGCGCACGCTTCGAAAGCCGCTGGACCTATTGCGGTTTTCTACGAGTTGGCAAAAACCTGTGGTCATATGCAACACCACGTGATGAATGGAACACTTCGTAGGTATGGCATTTCGCAACAGATGGTGGATAGGAGAGTGAACATTAAAACACTCGCCAATCCATCATGTGGGATTCTGCCATTAATCAGTTGCAGCGGTGCCAAGCATCAGGCATAGCACAAGACTGCCCTCTTTCGCAGTCTTTGTTTATTATCGTGCAGAGCGTCGTCATTGTTTTCGACATTGACCGCGCTGTGGGGAACTTGCGCCCAAGTGCTGTTGAGCCAGGGTTTCTTATTTTCCTGGCATTGTGTACGCATCAGATCCAATACTTGCGAGTGGCAGCGTAGGCACATTGCAGTCTTACAGGATGCCGTATTTTGCAAAGGGCAGAGACACGGTTCCGAGTCAATGCGGGTCAAGACGTTCGCCATCAGATTGCAGAACAGTTGGGTGGGTCGGACCCCCTCGGGAACGGCTGCGACTACGACGAGTGGACTACGACTGCGGGGGGATCCGTCCAGCGGTGCCACCGAATCTCAGAAGTGTGGCACATCCCCTGTGTTTTTGGACCCCGACCCTACGGATCCGCGTGAGGGGTGCCGCCGGCTTTCGGAAATGTAGCGAGTTCCATGCGCTTTTGGAGCCTGATCCTGCTGATTTGCGTGAGGGAGCGACGAGGGGTACTCCTGCCGAGGCTATCGGAGTATTTGCAGCGATCAGTTGTAGGTGCCGTGGCGCGTGCAGCCGGCCCCCTCGGGGCCTTTCCCCGTTCGTTCTTTCCTTTCCCGCGTGATGGCCGCAAGGGTTCGCGTCGGCTGGGCCCGGGCGTGCGCGCCAGGGAGAGACGAACGGCAACCATGCAACCGAAGCAGCCACACGCCCCCGGTGCGTTTGACGAACGGCCTCCGCGTCGCTTCGTGTGCGCTCCGCGGCTCCCCGCGGCTGTCTTGGGGTCGAGTGAGCGTGCCTGGGGCCGCCGCCGCCGACGAGGAAGACGACGACGAGCGGCGATGACGACGGGAGTCGATCTCGAGACCTCTGCTGCGATTTTCCGCCCTGGCAGCGTTTTGAAGGCCTCTCGGGGCCATCGTGGGGCCTTCTCGGGGCCGTCGTGGAGGCCTCCTGGGCCCTCCCGGGACTCTCTTGGGGCCCTCTTGGGGCCCTCGTGGGGCTCACCCAGGGCTCTCTTGGGGCTCTCGTTGAGGCCTTGGGGGCCATCTTGGAAGCCATCGGTCAAAGGATTGGGGGTACTCAAGTACGCCCTCTCCATCTGGGCCCGAACATTGGCCTCTCTGGGCACTCCTGGGCCGCTCTTGGGGCGCTCTTGGGCGATCTTGGGGCCGTCTTGGGTCCTCCTGAGCCCCTCCTCGGGCCCTCTTGGGCCATTCGGGAGCCATCCGGAGGCCTCGAGAACCCATGGGAAGCAAAAGGGCGAGGGGAACCACGTTGAAAAACACAGGTTTTGAGGGGTTCTGGCCTCCTGCGGGCCCCCTTGGAAGCCGTGGAGGGCACTTAGGGCCGTCCTGGGGCGGTGTTGAGGCCTTTCGGAGGCATGCCGGAGGCTATCTTGAACTGTCTTGGGAAATCTTGAGAGCGATTTTGGAGGCCATCTTGGGCTCCTTGGGGCCCTGCTGGAGCCGCCTGGTGCGAACACGGACCCTCTGGCACCTCGCGGGAAGGAGAGGGGGGGGTCCGATAGAGGAAGGAGGGGGTTAGCAGAACGAGCTCCCTCGACCACTCACGCCCTCGAGGGGTGTCGGGATTCTACAGTGCGATTGTGCTTCCCCAGCTTTTGTGGAGTCTTGAATCAGTGTGGGTTTGATGACGGCCAAGAAGAGATTGGACCATTTCAGCGCGCAGTGTCTTAGGCGTATTTGCCTCGCATTCCATATGCATATCTTCGAGGGTTCCCGACGAGCCTCGAACGTATTTCGAGTCCGAGCTCTCAGCGAGGTTTTTTGCGAGAGACAAACCTCGCTGTACAAACACATCGCTGGGGTGTCCGAAGTGCACCCGCCACGTGCCAGGCAGGGGCTAAGTTTTTCTTAGCATCTGGGAGCAATGCCGGGAGAGAGGTAGATCGAAACAATTGTGACAACTGTCGGTTTCTCTGTGGCCCGACTGGTTTTCGGATGCGCCATAGTCTCAGGAGTGGACAGAACACCCACCCTGACGCGTCAATTGGAGAAGTGGCCGTTTTCGGTTCTCGAGAGGGCGCCGCGGCCATCATTTTCCAGTCTTGAGCCCGCCAGGTTTGGCCCCGAGGTCGTTGTCACCAAACCACGTTTTACTAAAGGGGGTTTGGTCCATCCCCGATAGTCGAACACACACAAACACATGGGAGTTTTGTTCGGCTTCTGCCGAGGCGCTGGACGCCCTGGTTCCTCGTGAGGTCCTCGAAGCCTGCGAGGTCTCCGGAGTTTCTAGGAGGCTCAGAGCAATTGCCAGGACTTCTCAAGACCTCGATCTCCACTCCTCGATCCTCCCCTCCCTCCCCTCCCTCCCTCCCTCCCTCCCTCCCTCCCTCCCTCCCTCCCTCCCTCCCTCCCTCTCCCCTCATGGGCCAGGACTTCTCCAGACCTCGATCTCCAATCCTCGACCCTTCCCTCCCTCCCTCCCTCTCCCTTCATGGGCCGACAACTGGCGCCCCTACCCTATGCGAGCCCTGGATTTCTCGGGGTGGAGTTCCGGGGGGGGGGCTATGGGTGTGTGTTGTCGGATGGGGGTCCCCGCTCGAGTGGGAGCCCCCCCCTCGGGGTCCGGCAGCTCGCACCCATAACCCAGGGCGCCTCCGTCGCCCTGCCCTTCTTCCCGCTTCCTCCTCCCTATGTAGGTCTGCGTGCGTGTGCTGTTCTCTCATCGGGGGCGGAAAAGAGGGGGGTGATGACTAGGGGGGGGATGGAGATCATGGCGGGGGCCATGATATCTCCCCAGGTTTCGTGGCGCCTCTTCTTGTTTCATTACGCCCCTGGCCCTCCCGCTGGGCCGCGCACGTGCCGCCGGCCATGATTTGCACCCCCCCATCTTGGACACCCCCCTCTTGGCCGCTCCCGATTTCAGCATCCTTCTCCTCCTCCTCCTCCGCCTCCTCCTCCTCCGCCTCGTCCTCCTCCTCCTCCTCCTCCTCCTCCTCCTTCCTCAAACTCCTTGTCCTCCTCCTCCTCCTCCTCCTCCTCCTCCTCCTCCTCCTCCTCCTCCTCCTCCTCCCCGTCCGTAGCCATTTTGGCTCAAGTCCGTAGTGTTTCGCTCCAGGACTGAGTTTTTGGCGTGGGGGAGCAGCGGCCCCCGAAGGCTCTCGTACCTCCTCTCTGCCTGCCCTGGCTGGAGGTACCACTCTGTTCACGTGCTGTTTCGGGAACGTACGCTCCCCCTTGCACTAGTTACATCTCTTTGCTGCCGCGGATGTCTCAGGGAGATGGACGGGCACAGAAGACGAGCAGGCATGCCCAGAGGCGTCGGGCGGAGGCGACGGATTGGGTATGTCGATGGTGTGTCCACCCAGTGTCGGGCGCGGCATGGTGGAACAGATCGGATAAGGTATCATGTCAGAAGTGTGGTGTTGCCAAGGCCTCGTCCTTTCTGGAGCCTCGGTTCACGCATACGGCGCCTTCGCAGAAGCAACAGCGGGCAGACCGAGCGGCCACAGCCGAGCAGCCGCCGCCATGGCATGCGCGCAAGGTCGCGGAGCTGGAGAAGCAGCTGGCGGCAGCGCGGCAGCAGCTGGCCACCGGAGGGAGGTCTGAGAGCAACGAGATGGAGGTCGACGTCGAGAGCGGGGTG